GCCTTCGCGGCCTTCGCGGCCTTCGCAGCCTCCGCGGCCTCTGCCACTTCCGCCGCCTCCGCCGCCTCTGCCGCCCCTGCCGCCCCTGCCATCCCAGCCGGACCTGAGATCTCTTGGATTAGGCTCTGTCCACTTCTGCTCCGGGGCCTCAGCCATTGCTGGTAATGGTAAGGTTGGCGCGGACCTCTCGCACACCTAGGATTGAGAGAAGATGTGGCCTGAGGCCTCTCTCTCTCCAGGCTCTTGACTGGTGGCCTGCTTCAACCAGCCTGTAGGTAGCTGTGGAGCCGTTACCTAGGGAATCATTGTCCCACGTGGTATCAGGGCGGGACTTTGATGGCCTGACCAATCACAGGCCTGGTAGGAGGGTGAGGTAAGCAGACACTTCTCGAGCAAAATTTAAAGTGATACTCTCAAGGGCTGAGTCTATAGGCCCATAGAGGACCCTGATTGTGAGTGTTTCCTCAACTTTTGTGTAATAGATGCCTCAATCGCTCACCTCATTTTAGTTCTGGCTCAGGTTGGAGCAGACTTGAAGTACGCCTTGAACTTCTCCACGGAGTCTTTTTAATAAGCCAGTTAGTTCATAGGAAAAAAACAGTGGATTTAAAAAAAAAAAAACTTGTTTGTTTCACTAAGTTTCTTTTTGAGTAATGATACTTAGTCTAGATAAATTCACTAATTTTGCATCCTCTACGTTAACTTAAATTGTACCATCAGAAGTCTGTTAAGTGCACACTTAGGGATGCCATTTCGGCGCTTATTCTTTGACTAACCTCCAACTTTTTTTTCAGGCAGTTTCTATATATTATTTCATAGAATACTGGTTAGAAGAGAGAGGAAGTAGTGTCTAAGGTACCTTAGGCGGTGTTTTCAGTAGTCTGCTGGTTTTCTTAGTGCATCTTAATTTTTTTCCTTCCCCATGGTTTCATAGGTTCACTGATCTTAGAACTAGCAGGTTATATAGATGTCATTTGTTAAGTGCAATGCAGAAGACACCCTGGCAGCAGTGGGGGCAAGTGGCTGTCCAGCTTCTGTTTAAACAGTCAGAGGCAAGAAGCTCACTTTGCTTCAAGGATATCCATTCCGTTAGGAGGCAGTTTAACGGTTACAAAGATGCTGTTGAACTAAAATATGCCACCTCTTGTTTGTTTAGGTCCTCCTTCTGACTTCTGAAGTTACACACAATAGGTTTGATTTTCCTTGTATCCGTGTATATGTAAAGACCACTGTCAAATCCCCTTAAGGTTTCTGTTCATCAGGGTTAAAGTCCTCTTTTTGAAAACACTTCTTGATATGACTTGCTTTCTAAGAAGTACACCATCCTGTTCCTTTTGGACGTGGTGCATTGAGGACCTTTTATGATGTGGCACATAGAACTGAACAAAACAAATCTGCAGAAATGGCCTTACCTTTACTATTTAGGTCCTCTTCACTAAGCATGACAGTTCTACTAATTGTACCTATGAACTCAAGACACAAAGCTGAGCACAGGAACGTGATGGGCATTTAATACATTCTTCCTCATTCTGTACTTATATGGTTGATTTTAATTTTTTTTCTTTGTTTAGTAAAAGTAGGCCATATATTTATCCTTTTATATTCGTCCTGTTAAGTTTGGTCAATTGAAGCAACCTAGTAAATATAACTTTAATGCTGATTCTCTCATCCCACATAGTAGCCTCTAATTTTAATTGTTTCGCTACTTATGCATTTATGGCATCTTTCTCTCTTCAGTTAAAGTTGCTGATTAAAATTTGAACATGTTTGAATATTAGATAGAAGTTTGTGACACATTGGGAAAATTTTTATGTCAGCGTTTTTATAGAAAGCTGCCTTTAAAAATAAAAAAGACAAACATTTATTATCTGACACAGTTTCTGGGAGTCACTAACCCAGCAGTGGCTTAGCTGGGTGGATCTGGTTCTGGGTCTCTCACGGGATTTCAGCCAAGACGTCGGCCAAAGCTGCTTTATTAGAAAGAAAATATTGCTGGCTAAGTATATTGGGAAATATAAAGCCCTCCATCCTCTTTGTAAGAGTCACAATGCATATTAGGTATCTCAGGAACTCTGATAATTACAGGAATTGAGAAACTCAATTGGACATTGTTTAACTCAAAGTTTCCAAAGGAATTTTCCAGTGAAACTTCTTCTCAATATATTAATTAATCATTTACATGGAATAATTTTAGATTTTTAAAAATTACACACATGGTGCACAGGGTTCCCATATACTTTTCACCCAGTTTCAGTTTCCCCCAATCTTACCTCACACTACCATGGTACATTTATCAAATGTAAGAAATCAACCTTAGTATGTCAATATTAACTAAACTCCAGACTTTATACCACCAGATTTACAATAATGTATATTTTCCATCCCAGGATCTAGTACTAGCCACTGAAATGCATTTAGTTGTCATATATGATTTATGATAATTTCTCAGTCTTTACTTATTTTTCATAACCTTGCCAGTTTGGAGTAGTAATGGTCAAGTAATTTGTACAATGTCTCTAAGTTTAGGTATGTGTGATGTAATTTCTTACGATTAAACTTGGGTTGTGGATTTTTGAAGCAAGTTCCAAGCTTCTTATGCCTTGGCTCTGCTATCTGTAGAATGACATACGAATGCCTGTCTCATACACAGAGACACAAACACATAGTTACACTACTTGGTTCATAGTGGGAACACTCTAAGTCTCAATTACCCATGTTACAGAAACAATAGATATATAGAGACAATTATGGATGTTCCCAGATGCCTCAAGAATTTCCCTAAAACTTTCCTCTGATCCACATCAAAATGAAAAGAATAAGGACAACCAAAGGTTTATTTTAATTAATCTAAATTTATTCTATTTAAATGTTTTTATTCTAACATCATGCCCTTCTATTTATTTTTAAATTTTTATTTAAAAATTTATTTATTTAAAATGTATTTAAAAATTAAATATTGGAGTGATATTGTTTAATAAAATCAAATAGATTTCAAGTGTACAATTCAATAATATATCATGTGTATATTGCATTTTGTGTTCACCACCCAAAGTTAAATTTCCTTCTGTCACCAAATATTTGACCCCTGTTTCCCCTACCTTCCCCACTTCTGAATTCTGTGTTGCAGACTCTTCTTAGAGATGATTTCCAGATTCACCAGTAACTTCAAAACTTATTTATACAGATGTCTGTCGGCATGGTAATTTCAAGATCCATCCATATTTTTGTAAATGGCAGTATTTCATCTTTTCTTATGGCTGAGTAATATTCCATTTTACTATCCTTTTAAAAATGAAATGAGAATTGTAAATGATTTTTAAAGATCTTTACTAGGGGAAACAAATGAAAACTAATGCCAGTAGCCAGATTTGAGTTTTAAATATTAATGGTATGTGAAACTCAAGGAATGATAACTCATCTAACACATTAGCAATTAAACACAATTCAGAATGCTATTAGGTATTAATCATATTGGCAGGCAAGAGCTGGAGGGAGGTCTGGGAAACTAGAGAGGTGAGGCAAAAGACCTGTGAGGGATGGAGGTCTGATCTGTTACTAGGAGGTATGAAATTAGTGATAGGAGGATGTTAAAGTTTCAGGAGAAGAAACCAATGTGGCCTTGGTAAAGAGATGAGGGCAGCCTGGAGGACTAGGACAGAAAATCCAGGTTAAGGAGAGTGGGGAAATGGAGAAAAATAGTTTGGGTCAGGAGAAGGGAAAAGGGAACTTGCAGGAACCATAAAGACAATCAAAGAAGTTTCAAATTAATACGCTAAAGAAAGGAGTGAACCTAGAGTGAAGGACTCGTGACACTGTCAGTATTAATTAGGGAAGCAGATTCATATGAAGGAAGTAAGGTGAAATGAAGTGAATAATGGGGACTGTGTGGTATTTTAAGCACATTAGGCTGAAATACTTGAACAGTTTGTGACAGCGGTAATTCAGAGAAAGGAACAGCTAGGTACAGAAGGGATCCCAATAGCAACAAACTTTTTTAGTCTTACATATGACATGCATTTAAAATGCAATTATCAAATCATCTCATTTAATTATATTATTTAATTATCACGGCAACTCCATATAAATATTTTCTTCTTTCTTCATATGAAAACACTGAAACTCATAGATGTTACATAATATATCCAAGTTTATGCAAAGGTATGATAGTTAAATTTTAACTCAAGTCTGATCAGCTTCAAAGCCTTCCTCCTCTACTAAACTCTTGTTTTAATGAGAAAACATGCTGGATTTGGTGCCTGATTCTAAAGATGGTATGAAAGTAGTGTTTAATCAGAGATGACTCAAGTTTACAGGTCGAAGATTCACTGAAGCAAAGAATCTTAGAGCCATTTGACAGGGAAGATAGAGGGGAAGTCATTTGTGGGGCAACAAGAGTTTGGTTTTAGACATATCCAGTTTGTGGTGTTGTGGGGACATGCAAGTGGAAATGCTAAGTAGGACTGGAGATTTGGGACTGTAGTTCAGATGTGAAAACAGGGGAGATATTGTAATAATCAGCATAGAAGCTATAGTTGAAACAGAATGAATATTCTTCCCTAGAAAGAGGGAGTAACGAAAGACAGGTTTAAGAATATGTTAAAGAATCAGAGAATTCATATGATTAGATGATGAGAAGAGAAGGACAGGGAGCCAAGTGAAGAAACAAGAAATATTCAAGAGAATCAGAAGAAAGCATTATAATATGAAATAAGGGAAGAGAAAATGTTGAAAAGGCCCAGTAAACAATGGACAGGAGGTAAATAGACTACTGAATTTGGGAGAAGGAAATTAACAGTGACTTTCAGGAAGGCCCTTTTTGTTGAGTAATGGAGAAATACATATTGCAGGGAAAGCAGTTGGGATGAGAGAAGACGGGGCCACTGGGGAACTTTGTGTGATAGGGAGAGAACTTTACGTCTTTTACCAAAGCTGAAAGGCACTGTTATCATTTTTAAACAAGGTTTTTAGGAAATCAAGATTTCATGACCAAGTTACTGGGACTGCTCTGTGAAGGATCCAATAGATTTCAAGATTATTTATCATGAATATTGGAAGGAAACGAACTTTAATAGTCTTTCAAAATATGTGGGAGGATAGGATGAGGGAGAGAATCACAAGGAAACAAGAACCGTTCATTAGCAGTTTCAGAAAAGGAA